CCCGCCGGTCCCCAGTGCTGCAAGTTTGGAGAGGACAGAGCCAGGCTCCCCTCACACTGGGGCTTACTCTGCTCGCCTCTGAAGACAAACCGAGCAGGGTCAGGTCCTTGGACAAAGGGGACCCAGGAAGTCACGCCCCGAAAAGGGAGGGCAAGTCACCCTGGGGCTCCTGCCAGCCCTGTCACATCTCAGAGCTCGAAAGCACAGTGGTCTCCAGCCTCTCCCTCTACGTCACTACCCAGCCCCCACCTCGAGAAAAATCAGCCCCCTCAGTCGCCTGGCTAATGGCAGCGGCACCTGCAGCTCTTCCCGGGCCGGCCTGCCTTCCGCAGATCTGTCCTTGTGGCGCGCCAGGGGGCCCTGGGGGATTCCCGGAAATGAGCCCGGGACATGGAAAGAGGACAGAGAGGAAGACATCAGCCGCATGAAGTCCTGGGAATCCAGGCCGCCCTGAAGAGCCTTTGCCTGGAATTTCTGAGCTTTGGCCTGTTTACCCAAAGCCACCGAAGCATCAGGTTTGGGAGGAATCCTAAATGTCTCTCTAACCGGTGACATTCACACCAGCCACAGTCCCTGAGAGCGGGGTGCGGAGAGAAGCGTCACCACCGGGGAGGGGAGCAGGCTCTGCAATGCATGGCGTTGCCTCGGGCAGGAGCAAATCGCGGTGCTCCAGGGCAGCTGGCAAGCCAAGGCCCAGCCAGGCAGCCCCGTGCTCAGGCCCACGCGTTTCCACCCAGCCGCCTGGCGCCCCTCTGCCGCTCCCGGGAAACCGACGGCTGAATCTCAGCGCTGAGCCCCACGGGGAGGGAGCTGGCCCCCCGGGCTCACGGGACGGGAGGACAGGAGGACAGAGGGCTGCACGCACAGGGCTGGGAGCCAGCGGGTGCGAGAGGATGCGCCCCCACCCCCGCCGCCGCCCCCGGTGCTCACCTCAGGGCTACCCAGGGCTGGCTTTTTAGGAGGTTTTCTACTTTAAAAAAATGGACAGCATCTAATTTCCGATCAGCCAAATGCACCCTGAAAACCACCCCTCACTGTTCCGACCCGGACACTCGTCCCCAGGCTGCAGCCCCCCGGAAGGCGCTGCCACCGACTCCAGGAGCTGAAGGGCCACTCACCTGCCTTCCTGGCGTCTGCACGTTAAAAAGGACACAGTCTAGCTTACTAGGGTGCACCGCCGCTCCGAGGATCCGGTGCGGCAGCTTTCTCATTAGGGAGTGTCACTGCGGAGGCAGGCGGCGAAAGACAAGAGCCCCCAGGGGTCGGGCTTGGAGGCAGCAAGTCCATTAGTCCTATTAGGGCTTGTGCATCTCGGAGAAACAGGCTGAATAATTCAGGAGCGCCGCGGCCCCTAAGAGCCCGGGGAGTGCGGATCCGCGGCGCGCTGGCCAGGCCGACTCCGGCTTTGGCGCTGGCGGGGGTATCGGGCGGGGGTCCTGCCTCCACTGCAACCGAGGGCCAGCGACAGGACCCTGGGAACTGCGGGTGGAAAGGGGCAGGCGGGCTTTTTGTTGTTAGAGGATGAGACCCAGGCGTGCAGCTCTGCCGTGTCTGCGGTCGGGGAGCCGAGGTCCCCTTGGCACGTAACTGCCACCCACATGGGCGGGGTTGGGGTCTGAGGAGACCTCCCCTCAGGAGGGGTTTGGGGACCCTTCCTCCCAGCACACAGCCTGCCCTGGGGTTTTGGGGAAACGCTTCGAGGCTGAGCTTTGGGGCGAGGCTATGCTGACCCCCGTCCCAGGGTCATGACCCTAGGGGCACTTCGGGTCACCCCGGGGTGCCAAAATGTCACAGCATGACATTGCTTTCCAGCTAAAAAGGGGCCCGGGCCCGTGGGATTTCGGACAGGAGCAGCTGTTTGCCCCACGGCACCCCTGTGAACAGGCGGCCGCCGCCAGCCTCCGGGTCGGCGTGGTCACTGCCTCCGGCCCGCGGCACAAAGCACACGAAGTGCAAATGCACGGCCCGGAGTGGACGCCCACAGGGGACCAGCAACGCTATCGCCTGGGGAGGCCTGGGCTGTGGCCTTTCTCAGAGGCCCAGGCCCACTGTGGCCCTCACGTGTGGCGGCCGGAGGCGGCCAAGGCCTCACTGTTGGTTGGCGGTCATCAGCCTGACGCGCTTTGAAGGGGGACCGTCTCCTTGCTCCGGCCAGTGCTCCTGTCTGTCAACGCAATGTGGCTGCTCAAACAAGCCCGCGGACGTGGCTCCGGACCCTGTCCCGGGCCCTGGCCCCTCACTCCTCTTCCCGGGGTTCCTTTGGGCCAGACCTTCTCCTTCGCTCCGGGTCTCCCACATCCAGCTTGTCCCTGCCAACCTGCTTCCTTCCTGCATCAGAGCCCTGGTCCCTGCCCTGCTCAGCCGCCACCGGTGGCTCTGCAGCGCACCCTGTGGGGATCCCGAGCGGCTTTGCTTGGTGTTCAAGGGCCTCCCTCACCAGACACCCGTCCACCGTGGCAGGCTGGCTCCTTGTCATTCTCTGTGCCGTCCCCGGTCACCCGTCTGTGAAACCATCACTTTCCTGTTGTCTTGCACTTCTCCAAGTTGTGGCTCAGGCTGTTGCATCTGTAAGAATGTTCTTCCTGGTTTTGGCGTTGAATCTGGTGCAGACTTCAAGGTACAGCTCAAAGCTCCGTGCTGCCTTTGCGGTGAAGCCTCCCGACTCTCAGGGGGCTGTGACCCCTTCCCCCTCAGGACCCCGCTGCTCTTCCAACTTCTTCCAGGTACATTTTGCCTCCTGGGAACGACTGGAGTATTTGGGCTCTGGTATAGGTGGCATTACTGTGGCCGATCCTCTGTCCCTCTCTGTATCACGGGACTGGTTCCTCCCATGGAGGTGGTGGGGAAAGGGTATCTTTTCTGCTCTCTGACATTGGGCTGGGTTGTGAGATTCGCTTTGGCCAAAAGAATGAGCAGAAGTGAGAGTTGCGGATTCTGGCCTTGGCCTTCAGAGACAAGACAGTGCTTTTGCTCTGGCTTTTCTGTCATGAGAAGAATAGCTTGGGACAGCCCCCTGTTAGGAAGGACGGGAGGATGAGCAGCTGGGTCCACTCTGCAGCTCAGAGCTGAGTCCAGCCTAGACGAACTGACTCTAGTCAACCCCCTGACGTATGAGCAAGAAACGCAGGCCTTCTGCTGTACAGCAGTGGGTTCTGGGGCGGTTTGTTACGCGGCACTCTGTGTAACAGCTGACGGATATGAGGTCGAGGGCAGGGCATGCCTTGAACACCTCTGCCCTGTTCCAGAGAGGCGCCACCATGCGGACTGACTTAAAGAACCAGCGAGAGCCATGCCAGGGCCTGGGTGACGAGGGTGCCCCACAGGGAGTGGCACCCAGGATGATGGACAAAGATCCCGCCCCTTAGAGGTCTTCATCAGAGGCCCCACAAAAGACACTCAGGTGTCCGTGTGAAGAATCCACGCTGAGACCCAATGGCAGGGCGGCCAGAGCTGCGGCACTGGATGTGGGGATTCAGTTCTCCCACGGAGCTCTCCCTGGGGGCAGGAAGGCCCGGTGGGGACAGCTGCTTGTCCAGAGGGTCCCCAGGGGGTGGACTGGATGTGGGTCTGATGGGCTAGTGGGCGAGGCGTGGGACCATCTCTCACTTCACCCCAGCAGCTCCCTCCTGGGGGCCAGGCGCTCTCAGCAGGCCGGTCCGATCCCGGGACTTTTCCAATGGCGTGTCTCACGTCGCTCCTTTCCTTCCGGGAGTGGGGCGGCCCGGGTGTCTGAGGATGCGGTTCAAGTGCACCTTTGGACTCGCTGGTCTGATCCTGCTGGGAGGAGTGTTGCATACTCGCTCTGACCGGCTGGGCCACTGCATGCAGACACCATGGTGAACATTTCGTCCAAAAAAACGCACCTGCAAGCCCACATTCAGGCCTAACTGTGCGGGCAAAGCCAGACCTGGATAATCTCAGTAGAATGAAAGGCTCGGTCAGCTCTTTAGAGCTCTCGGTAAGCAGGGCGAATGCATGGGAAGAGCAGGAGCGGCGGCTCGTGTGGCCCAGGACCCAGGCCCACGGTCACAGGCAGAGGTGTGGGCGCTGCAGGAAGGAAAGAGCCGCACAAGGGTCCAGCACCGGCCCTGCACCCATGGCCCGAGGTTCCTGGCGCATCACAGGAACTGCCCCACGGCCCTGTTCCCATGGGCGTGCACGACACTGTGGCGCTGGTCCTGGACCCAGAGGCCTCCCAGGCCTGGGTGCAAAAACGCGCCCCCAAGAGCCACACGCATTGAGTCCCCCACACAGTCCCCAGGGTGGCGGAGCTGACCTGCGGTCCTGCACCCTGACATTTTCCCGACAGGAGAAAGATGTCAAAGTGAGTATTGAGAGTTAAGAGACTTTCCAGGAAGCCTGTATCCTCCAGGGACGCCCTCTCTGCTGTACAGGTTAGGGAGTGGCTGCCACAAGGGGAGGGACAGCCGGAGAAGACCCTGCTGACCGGCCTGCCTGTCCCCTTGGCACCTTGTCCCTAGGGGACACAGCCTCTCTTACTCTTGAAACATTGCTGAGCTGATTCACCAACAGGGAAATGCACCAGAGAGACGTTGGGAGTCTGCCCCTCCCTGACCCAGGTTCCCTGGGAGCTGGAGCCAGATGCCCTGCCAGGGGTGCTGACCTTGGATGACTCCAAGGTGGCAAAGCAGCTCAGCCCCAAAGCAAGGGGTCTCCTACTCTGAGAACCCAGGGAACACGAACCGCGATGGGAAAGCGAGGCCTTAAGGAAGAGCCCGCAAGAGCTGAGCAGGTATCACAGATCCCTTTGTTCAAGTCAAATTCTAGAAGATCAGCGTACCGACCGAACCCCACTTCTCGCTTTCCGTCAAGACAGTACAAACATCACCGCAGCGGGTTCCGAGGGAGAACAGAGCCGGACCTCGTTGGGGCATTTTCACCTCCGAGAAACCAGCGGCACACGGGGCCTGGGCGCACGGCCCTCCCGCCCGCTCCCCTGCCCTCAGCTCGCGGGTTTGGGGAAACGGAGGGCTCGTTACCTGTAAAACTGGAGCTGTCTTTTGGGGCTCCCATACCGAGTACTGCGGGCAGCAATGGGGGAGAGAGGAAGGAGAGAAGAGAGAGTCCACAATTGGCATTAACCACAGGGAGGTGCCCGGACGCATCCACGACGCCCGCAGCCCCAGCCCCACCCCGCTCCGCATGGCCGGTGGAGGATGCGCCGGCTCCAAGCGCTCGGCGGCAGCGCCACCCAGTGGCGCGCGGGGGCAGAGGCCCGTTCTGCTGGGACTGGGGTCCTTCCGTGCTTGCCGCACCCGGGCGCAGAGCGGGGAGTGAGACAGGAAGTAAATGCTGGGAACAGTCCGCTTGGGTTTGAACGACATATGCTTGAGCACAACAGTGGAAAACCCTCCAATGAGAACCCCCGGTCACCTGACTCGCCAGCAAACCTGCATGTGACTGTGGGTTCTTTTTAGGACCTTGAGGAAGGAGGGACCCCCTTTTCCCTGTGGTTTCCATGGACACTCTCTGTGGCTCAGGCCCTGACAGTTATCTGGAAAGGTCCCAGCGCTCCAGGACTGACCGGCCCCAGGATCCCATCTGGCGCCAGGCTTTGGGGCCGTGCCTGCCATCTGGGTTCTGTGCTCGGCCCAGGGCCTTCTGCCGCCCTCCCTGGGGTCCAGCCTGGGATGTGGCCAGATAGAAACACCCAGAGCTGGATTTGGAAGTGGCTTCTCAAGGGCCTGGCTGACCCCGCACTCCCTGCATGTAAGCCCTGGCCAGGGTGTCAGAACAGCTAGGGGCACCCCCGGAGCCGTGCTGTGTCTGTCGGAGGAGAGGAAAGGCCTCTGTTACCTCCAGGGGGATATTTCAGGACTGGGAGCGGGACAAAAGGGGCGGCTAATCCTGGCTCTGTCCCACCCAGGAAATCTTGGGTTTTTCTTTCCTACTTTGGTCTTACGAGCTTTTGTTCCTTTCCTTTCCTTGGAGAAAACGCCTGCCCACCTGCCGCACCTCACACCCCTGGGGCCTCACTTGGCCCTTCCCTCTGGATCAAGGGGAGGACGGTGGCCCCCGGGACCCTTCCTGGAGTCAGGACTGACCCTGGGGGGCCTAGGGGCAGGGGTCACCTGTAGATCATGCCAGGGGAGCCCGTCTGCCGCAGGGAGAGCCGAGCTGGGGAGCCTGTGGTCGATTCCGGATACATGGAGCCGGTCTCACGTGTCTGGACCTGTGCTCTTCTTCACGAGGGGAGATTCTGGAGGGAAAGCAGAGGAGGGGGGGAGCTGGTTACAAAAGACCAATCGGGTCTGTCCAGGGGACTCTGCAAGGGTGGGGGCCCAACTCAGGGGCCCCTACCTGTCCCTCATCAGACAGACAGACAGACAGACAGACAGAGACCCACGGGGCCTCGGATGATGGTGAGGGACCTCCACCCCATCTCTCCACTCTCACCCCCACACTCTGGGGGCCCTTCACCCCTCCCTGGCTGCTTTTCTGAGGCTCTGGGGGTGCGTTCCTGTTGTCCAAATTCCACAGGACCAGAGGTGCCAGGGGAGCCTGCAAACTCAGCCCTCGGGACTGTCTCCCTCGCCCCAGGATTTCCGTCCCCCGGGGCCATCCTTGCTGCCTCACTGCCCCAACCCTGCCCCAGGCCCCTGGTGCCGCTGCTCAGCATTAAGGAAGCAGCTCGTTGGACGCCTTGTGACCCCAGCTCCTGGCACCCACACCTGTGCAAGCCCCGCCCCTTAGCTGAGCGCCGGACCTAGTGACTTGCTCCTAACAACGGAATGTGGCGTAGGTGACTGGATGTCACTTCTGGGATTAGGCGATATGGATTGTGCCTGCGGTCTTGCTCACAGATTCTCGCTCCTGACTCGCTGGCTCTGACGAGGCAGGTTGCTGGGCTGGAGAAGCCCACGTGGCAGAAAGCAAGGGCGGCCTCTGGCCAACAGCCCATGAGATGGAGCCTTCAAACCGCCACGGAGCTTGGCAGCTTGGTGGGGCCCCTCCCCAGCAGCCTTTGGATACGAGCCCAGCCCGGCCAGCCCCTTGGTCGCAGCTCATGAGGCCCTTATGCAGCGGAGGGCCCAGCTGAGCCGCGCCCCAACCCGTGGCCCAGAAACTGAGGGAGTGAAAGCTGGCGGTGATGCTTGGGGCAGCAACAGATCCTGCTGAGCTCCTGATGGCGCCCAGCCCTGTCCCTCCGTGGCTGTTCCCAGCTCAGTGAAGGCCCGCCCTCCATCATCTTCAGAGGTGCCGAGCCGCAAGCTTCTCGCGGTGGTCCCCACCAGCTCCTCCCTGGTCCCTGCCGCCACCTTCTCTCTCCACAGCAGCTTTCTAGCGGGTCTCCTGGCTTCCGCCTTTACCCTACTCTCTACTGTACAGGAGCCAGGGCGAACCTTCTAGAACAGAAGTCAGATCATGTTGCTACTTCACTCAAAACCTTCCAACGGTTTCTCATTCTTTCCCGAGTGAAATCCCAAATTTCCACAATGGCCTCATGGCCCCCACCTGCCCATGACCCATGGGACATCGCCCCCCATCGTCCCTCTTGCTCGCCCCGCCCCCTGCACGGACTCCTTGGGGCCCCTCAAGCCCGCAGACACGCCGACCTCGGGGCGTTTAGACCAGGTCTTCCTCCCACCTGAGCGCTCCCAGCCCTGGACCCATCTGAAGGCTCCCTGCCTCCCAACCTTTGCCCTCTATCAAACGTCAGCTTCTCATGGGGCCTTTTCTGGACACCTTATCCTCAACGGCAAGCCCCATCTTCCCTACGCCCCTGGTACCTTCCCTGTATCATTATATTTTTTTTTATCCCCACCTGAGAATATTTTTTTCATCGCTCTGAGAGAGGAAGGCAGGGGAGAGGTGCATAAATGTGAGAAACACCAATTGGCCGCCCTCTCATACACGCCCTGACTAGGCATCAAACCTGTGACCTTTTGACCTGTGGGATGACACTCCAACCGACTGAGCCGCACTGGCCAGGGCCTCCGTATCATTTTTCTCCCGAGCATTTGTCACCTTCTGATACACCTCGCACTCCACCTACTGTCTTGTTTGTGACCTGTCTCCCTCCCACAAAGCTGCCGGCTTTGTCTGTTGTGTTCACCGCTGTGCCTGGCACACAGCAGGCACGGAAATATTTGTGGAAGGAAGGACGGACGGACGGACGGACGGACGGACTCTGTGACTCAGCCCGCTGAGGCTCCCCCGCTGAAAGCACAGGGGAAGGGGTGGGCGGTCTGTGTTATTAACCGTAAGTAGAGCACCCATGGCGACAGAGGGCCAGGGGACACTGCCCACGCGAAGGACAAGGGAAGTCTTCTCGAGGGTGCAGTGCTCACTCTGTCCGGGGGGGGCGCTCCGGGCAGCTGCAGGGGCAGGACAGCCAGCACCCACTGTGCCGATCAGTGAGGCGTCCTGCGTAGGCCGCCTGTCCCACTCCTCGCCCTACCTGGCCTGGACTCCCTGAGCCAGTGGCCAGCTCAGGCCCAGGGCCCACCTCCTGGCTCTGCAGCTGCCACCGTCCAATCAGGAGCAGCTGCGTCCTCCCAGCTGCCAGTCCTGGAGGAGCGGACGAACTAGTGGGATACTGCCGATCCCAGGCACCTCGGAGGGAGGCAGGCTGAGCTGGGGACCCCTCCTCCCCGGTTGGGGAGTGAGGCTTCAGAAGCCACTGGAGGGCCCCACCAGGTGCCGGAGGGACAGCTGGCTCGGGGCCCAAGTCCGGGTCCCTCCATCTCCTGCACTTGCACCCGCACGTGGCCTGGCGCGACAGCCGACTCACACCGGGAGACGGAAGCGGGAGAGCTCACACAGCCCGCCCCTACTTTCTCTCGGAGCAAAGAGAAGGCAGAGATGAACGTGCTAGGCCCAGGAGGAAAGCTGTTGAGTAAATCTCAGCTCTCGGCCTTTACAGGGTGAGCTGAGGGTGACAACAGGGGACTGAGAGGTCAGGAGACTCCATCTGTGGACACGTCTTTCTCTTCCCCTTTCACAAAACTCACACATCAGAAAAGTTGTAAGAAGTCAGAACAACAGCCCCTATACTCTTCACCCTATTCACCAGCGGTCTACCTGGTGCCTCATTCACGTGCGTTCCCTGTCGCCCTCTCCCCTCCTCCCCCTCCCTCCCTGAGAGCCACTTGCACAAGATGGGAAGAATTTAGTGCATCCAGGAGAGAGAAGAAAATCAACATGCGGCTTAAACCAAGAAACTGCAAAAAGAGGTCAGACCCGAGCCTGTGAGTCCAGGATGGAGATACGAAATAATAGCAGACACGTCCTGGTGGGGCCTGGCTGGGCCCTGTCTGGGTCATCCAGATGTTCTGGCTGACTAAGCTGGCATCCGATTGGCACAGGAGGAGGCTAGGAGAGTACAGGAGGTTGGATTGTTGGCCCCCATCCTTCACTCTTTCTGGTATCCGTGGCCTTTGCTGCCTCTCCCCCAACACACATGCACATGCGTGTCCCCCCTGCCCCACAATGCACAGGCACCAGCTCCAGCCTCAGCCACTGGGCACTAGCCCTGGAGGCTCTGCCGTCGCTGTGGACAAATGTGCCCGAGACCACCCCAAAGGCCGGGGCTGCGTGTGCTACTTGGTCTAGCCTGGGACGTGGAGCCACCCGACCCCTGAGTGCTCACTGTGGCCGCCGCCAGGACCCTTCTGCAGGTGGGCGGGGTTTAACTTGAGCGCTCCAGGGGCGCATCCTGGGGCTTTCGTGTTCAGGAGCATCCTGAGTGCGTTAAATTACAACTCCAGTGAGTGGCGGGAGCCACTGCCAATGCCTGGAAAGCAAGGCCACGCGTGTCTCTCCACCGTAGATTCTGGAGCAGAGGCAAACCTGGGGGCTGGAACCTTCCCTGAGCGAGATTTGATGGGGGGAAAATGAGCGGATTGTGTGCTCGAGGGGCAACCGTGTCTACATCGGAATCTTGCCGGAGCCCACCACACATGCTACTGTCTTCTTGGGTTGGCTCGATGGCCCACGTCCATCCTCTGGGTGACCCGAGAAGACCCGTCCAGGCGGCGGCACCCAATCGGGGCTCAGACATGGCCCCGGGTTCAAATCCCAACTGGCATTCCTGGGTATGAGCGTGGGCAAACCTCGTGGGGAGGATCTGCTGTGCTAATAGGGTTTGGTGGGGGCGCAGCAAGGGCCTCGGCGGTGGGTCGGCCTGTGCCTGGCCCTGGCGGGGGCAGGGGAGGACCCAAGGCCCGGCGCGCTTTTTGCCAAGTCGTGGGTCACAGCTCCCCGCAGACATTCGCACCACACGCAGAAGGCTGATGAAGTCGCTCCTGCTCAGGTGTGTCCCCGAGGTGGCCTGCTCCCTGGCAGGGATCTTCCCTTCTGGAAACTCACTTTTTAGGGTCCTCAGACTTCGCTACACCATCTGCTTTTCCCTGGCTGCCTCTCTCCTTTGCTCTCAGAAGGCAGCTCATCTCTCCAAGGTCTCCAGAAAAAGGGTAACCTCTCACACATGAGACCATCACACACAGGTATGGCTCAAGGTCATGGTGGGGGAAGGACTCTGTGCTTCCGAGGCCTCCTGTGACCTCGGCCAAAGTCTGGATCATTCTGCCAGCACAAAGGTTCCAAAAGGCTTGTCCCTCGATAGCTGAGGTCGTAAGAATGATAACATTGCACAAGTTATCTATTGCTACATGGCAAGCAGCTTAACACAGCACGCATCTGTCACACGGTGGTTTTGGAGGCAGGAATTGCGGATGGATAGGGCTGACGGGGCTGGTGGTTCCAGCCCAGGGTCTGCTCTGAGGGGGAGTCGGGGTGCCCTCTGGGGCTGCAGTCGCCCCTGAAGGCTGGCTGTGGCCAGGGGTCCTCTTCTGATGCATCTCACGCACGTGGCTGTGGGCAGGGGGCCTCAGTTCCCTGTCACCTGGATCTTCCCCCAGAGAAAAGGCTCGAGGGAGAGAAGCTGCGATGTCTTTCCTGACTGACTCAGAAGTCAGGAAAGACTCATACTTCTGAGGCTCAGAAGTATGTTCTCTTGGTTGCAAGGACCAACTCTAATATGAAGAGGAAGGTGAACGCACGTTGAGGGACGGTCCCCCACAGCGACTCCCTCCCCACACGCCCTGAGACCACTGGGATGCCGGCTCCGCCAGGGCAGAGCCGGGGCCCAAGCGGCGCCAGCCACGTGGCAGACGCTCAGCCAACGCTGACTGAGGGAGGCAGACGGGAGAGGCTCAGGCTGCCCGGGCGCGATGGACATCGCTCCTCTTCCTGGGAGCTTCGGGGTTCGGGGGTGTTATTTTGCAGTGTGGCTTCTCACAGCCCTGAAGTACGGCTGTGACTTTTCCACAGGAAAACCCCCCCCCCACCTTTAAGGGGCCACAGCCAGCAGAAGCCACCACGGTGACTATGCGCCTCAAAGAGACAGGAAGAGGTGTAACTGCTCAAAACCACACAGATCCGGAAGGGCGCTTGCATAACACCCCTTCCTCTCTCCCCCGGGAGCCGGAGCCGGAGCCGGACATGGGAGCCCTCGCCTCTCCTCTGAGCAAGACGGGGGGCAAGGACCGAGTGCTGCTGGCGAAGGCGGCTGCTGAATCCGCGCGGGGTATTGATCTGGGAGAGAAAGCTGAGAGGCCCAGTTCCTGGGAGGGGCCTGGAGGTCAACAACTCAGTTCCCAAACGGCACCATCAGGCCCTGCTCAGACTCAGGTGGTGGGAGGAGGAGGGATGGGGTCACAGTCAGTTGCCCTGCACTTTGCCACAAGGAGACCTGTGTCTCCTCCAAGCTCCGGAGGCCTGGGCGGGGGGAGCTGAGTGGCGTGGAGACGCACCAGCCTGCCCCTAAACGGCAGGGACCGCACGTGGTCGGACAAAAGCAGGAGCATCGGGGCCAGGGAGCCCCATTAAGAATTTCTCAGAAAGGTCACAGACTAAAAATTTCAGTCTTTTCAGAGCCACGTTCAAACGCCTGCCCCGATTACAGGCCAGTCGGCTCAGCCCAGAGCCCAGATCTAGGTTCCTGTTGGGGAGGCCCCTCTCGCATCTTACTGACGCTACAGCTAAAGGAAAAGGTCATGACCCAGGAATCCCAGCCTTCCCAAAGCAATGCTGAGGTGCCCTTGCGCAGCCCACCCAGACTTACCCCCTTGCTCCTGCGCGTGCCGGCCGGGCTCCCACAGACCGAAGCCGTGCTGGGGCTCCCGCTGCCCCAGGGCCTCTACAGCGGCTGCCGGGTGGGTGGCCCAGGCCCCCAGTCCTGGGAACAGTCACCCTCCCTCCCGGAGAGGGAGCAGAGGCTCCGCCCACAGGGTGGAGACCTCGCCTCCAGGCTGTGGCTCCCCCAGCCCTGAGCTGGCACCCACGGTGGAAGGGTGCCCGGCAGGGGGATCCTCAGGGTTTTACCGACCTCGTGGGCTGCAGCCAGTTGGGGGAAGACTCAGGAGCGGCCCCCCGGTGCTTGGCAGCCCCGTAACCCAGTGCCCAGGCCAGTGGCCCCTTCAGCCATTCATTCAGCAAACAGCACAGCTCCCAGCTCTGCCCTGCGGGCCTCCTGCTATGACCCCGCCCTGTGCCCTGCAGGCCCCGAAGTGAAGAGCCAGCTGGGGAGGGAGGAGCCTCGCCTGAAAAGCACCCCAGCACCCTGGCTTTCCAGGGCCAGGAGGGAGACCCTTAGGCGCTGGGGAGCTCTCTGCCCAGCCCTGCCTCCCCTCCCCTGCAAACAGTGACTCCACGGTGCTGGGCCTTCAGGCCGCCCTGCGTGCTGCCCTGCACTCAGCCCTGAGGGAGGCGGGGGCCCCTTCGTTTTGTTTTGAAGGCACAGACCTTCACTTCCTCACCTGGGAAACCACGTTCCACTCAGAGGTGGTCAGGGGGTCCTGGGAGAGAGCAGACGGGCAGGAAGCCCTGGGAGCTGGCAGGGGCTGTTCGGGCAGCTGGCGCCCCCTCCCCCCCACGGTGGGGACAGAGGTGGCCCTGCAGTGCTCTTGATCTCCAGGCACCTCATTGCTCTGGGGATGAAAGGAGAAGCCAGCAGCTCTGGTGGCAGAACTGTGCCATGGCCAGACACCTCTGCTGCTGCCCGGCGGGGCGCGCTGCCCGCCACGGAGCCGTCACTGGGGCTTGGGGGCCCACGTGTCTCCTCGCAGTGGCCGCTCTGCTGACAGGAGGCCACGCAGGCCCTGCCCAGTCCAGCAGGGTGTCTGCAGGGGCCGCACCCACCCCGCCGGCTGCAGCTGGTCCTCTGAGGGTGCGCGGTCTCGGGGGCTGCTGGCCCAACTCACCCTGGACGGCAGGGGAGCTCTCTCGGCCGCTCAGCACAAATGCCAAACCCATCTTGGGAAACAGGGTCCCCCGAACACCCCGGTACCTGCTCCTGGATCAGGAAGGCCAGAGACAAGGCCATTTTGGTGGAAGGCGAACAGAGACAGGTCCACGGGCCCAACCAGGAAGTTGATGGCAGGAGGTGCCACAGAGTGAAGGACGCCTGGCAGGCCAGGGCCCCAGGGAGGGAGTGGGGGTGTGGCCTCCAGTCCGAGGCTCAGCGCAGAGGACGGCTCACGCCCAGCCTTCCTGATGGAGCAACCTGCCGCCGCTGCGAGAACAGGAGGCTGCGCCCCTTCCTCGGTGGGGGCGGGGGGGGGGCAGGACAGCTGCCGGCTGGCCCTGGTGACGTTTGAGTTCCCGTTGACGGGTGCCGCTCTGTGCCAGAGCCGTCCCCACAGCCCCGGGAGTGGTACCGCTGCTCCCCGCTACAGAAGACACCACCGAGCGTCACAGAGGTCAGGCTGGGATTCAAACCCGGGACTGGCTGGCTCCAAAGCCATGCTCTGAGCCGGGCACTGCTCAGAGGCCCTCAACTGGACGGGGAGGGCTCTGTCTCACCCACGCCCCATCCCTGGGCCCAGCGCACCGCCAGGACCCCGCGGGCACAGGTGGATGACGTGGGCAGGGAGGGCAGGGGAGGTGCGCCCCTCTGTGGGCCTGCAGCCTCCCCCTGCTCTGCCTCTCCTTCCCGGGGGCCCCACCGGGGGAGAGCAAGGCAAAGTGGGGACTGGGAGGGGACAGCCCAGCCCCGACCTGTGACAGGGCTCTAAAGCCTTGGCCGGTCGTCAGCCAGCGGGGCTCCCAGGCATCGATCGGTGAGTCGCATGGGATCGCTGAGTTGCATGGGGTGCTGCTGGGGGTCTCCGACGGGGCCACGGGAGGAGAAGGGGGAAAGGGAAGGGAGACGCCAACGGCTCGGGGCGCTGGGTAAGTATTCACGACTGATCGAAGCCAGCAGGGCTGTCGCGAGGAGCTTGGGAGAGAGACCGGGGGAGAGGAGGGGGGAGCGTGGAAGGCAGGTGGCAAAGGGGAAGAACAGAGACCCCGAGGGAGAGTGGGGGACCCGCGTGGCTGAGCCCCTTGGGGCCCCGCCGCGCCCTGTCCGCCTCTAACCGTCACAGTGCTTGTGCAGACGGATAGTCAGGGCCCGGGCGTACTCTGCTCTCCTCGCGGCCATGCAGCCTGGTGGGGGCCGCGTGGACAGAACCTGTGGGCCTGGCTCCAGACTGGGGCTCTTGCCTCCACCTGTACAGCGACCTCCCCCCAGAGGCCCCCGGCCCGGCTCAAGACAGGAACCCCCTTCGCCAGCAGAGCACGTTGCCGCGACGCTGAGTGTCCTCGGACGCAGGCTGAATTGCCGCCCTCACGGATCTCAGAGCAGCAGGTAAGTCGAGCAGTTCAGACCAAGGCCCATGACCTTGCCGGCCGCTTGCGCGTAGCCAGCCCTCAGACCGTGGCTCCATCATTCCTGGCCCCTCAGTGTAGCTCGTGTGTCTTCAGGGATCCGCTGACTCTTTTTTGAGGTTATTGCACCGTGAGCCAGGAGGGCAGGCGACTGTCAAAAAGCCTGGGTGGCAAAGTTAGAGATCTCTCACGTGGTCAGCAAGAAGCGCACTTTCCGCACCGGACGCGCCTGGGCCCTGGGTTTCAGCGGGGCCAGAACGCGGCGGGGAGCTGCTGACCGGCCTAGCTGCCGCCCACGGGCCGGCTCCCGAAGCACCTTCCAGCCAGCGTGGCCTTGGCACAGCCATCCCGAGTCCAGGAAAGTTCTGCTTCCCGGGTGGAGAGGCATAGATGCTTCTGGAACCTTCTTCCTCACGGAGGAGGCTGCCTACAGCAGGCGTGAAGCTGGGGGCATCTTGGGTTGGATGGGGGGGGGGGTGGGGAGGCAGCACAAGGCCAGTGTGGGGAGATGTGCAGCAGCAGGTAGAGACTTCAGAGGGGTCCTAGGTATTTCTGCAACTTAAGCAGCCTGTACCGACGGAAATTGCCTCGCAGTAGCTCGCGTTCCTGGGAGCCCCGACCCTGGGGGGCTATGTCCCTGGACTGTGGAGTAAACGGCGTTCACGCACCCTCTGGGGTGACGAGCAAAGCCTGGTCCGGCGCCCAGACACCAGCCCCCTCCGTAAGACCCCCACGCTGGGGGGGTCTGCACCCCTCCGCCCAGGGGAACGCTGAGCAGATCACCCCTGGAGACAACTGAAGCCATGAAACAGGTCCTTCTGTTGAAGTGAAATCGGCTCCCTTGTGACTTCCCCCGGCAGGCCCACTGCCACTCTCTGGGGACAACAGACCCCATCGCGTCGCCGTGAGGCTCTCCTCGGAGCCCGTGAGGACACCTGCCGTTGCTCACCCGCGTCGCGGAGAGCACACAGCATTGCTGCTTTCGAAGCTTCCACGTCAGGTTTCTGACTTCGCAATTAACAACTAGGCTTGGGGCCACTGTCACGCAGCACGCTTCGCACAGCCGTCCACGGAACTCGCACGGGCGGCCAGGTGCCGGCGTCCACTGCGCCGGCGCGGGCGCGGGCACGAGGCCCAGACCAGTCGGCTAGCAAGCGTCAGGCAGCTGTCTGATGCTGAGGGCCCGGTGCTGGCGCCTGGGCACCTTCAACAGCCACCCTCGGTGCGGCCTCTCTCTGGGCCAGTGCCAGCGCCCGGGCACTTCGGTTTGCTGAAACCCGTGCGAAGGCAGCGGTGGCGCCTGGACCACGGCCAGTCTCTCCAGTCATGGTCAGCAGGGAGCGGCGGCGGCGGGCGCCCCCCCACCCCCGTTGCTCAGGGACAAGCTGGGCACTGCTGCGGCCTGCGGGCCCTGCGCAAGGGCCGCATTCACGTTAAGTGGTGGGAAGAAAAATAAAACATTTCATGGCACGTGAAGAAAATCACAGACTTCTAGTTTCAGCATCTGCACATAAAGTGGTGTGGGCGCACAGCCACGTGCACCGGGGTCTCGGTCAGCTCGGGCAGCCACTAAGACATGTTGCGGACCTGGGGTGTCGGCGGCAGACATACAACGGCCACAGTCCAAGATCTGGGTGCTGGCAAATTCGGGTTCTGGGGAGGCCCCGCGTCCTGGCTCGCTGATGGCCACTGTTGCGCTGTGTCCTCACCTGCCTGGTCTTACAGGGGCACCGTCCCATCTTGGGACCCAGCCTCCTGACCTCGTCTAACGCTCATCGCTACCAGAGGCCCCACACCGCCCCCCCGCCACTGCCTTGGGCACAGATTCCGGGGTGACACAGACATTTGGTCTGCGACTGTGCCCCGCGACGTGCCGGAGTTGAGGAGCCGCGCCCGCTGCTTTGCCCGCAAACCTAACCCATTTCCTCTCTGGCCCTCCGTGGAGGCCTGCTGAGCCCTTCTCTAGGATGTCCTGCCTCCGTCGTCACCACGCCTCATGGAAGGCCACCTCGCCCCTGCAGAGACGGGGCCTCAGACGCCGAGCGCCCCCACCTGCTCCGCACACGGCCTTCTGGGTCCCCACCCCCACTGCCCACACGGGCCTCCCGGGTGCGCCTGGGACCCTTCCTCTCCGTGCGGCGCTTCGCCTACGCGTGCCGCCCCGCCCAGCGCTCAGCACCGAGCTCCAAAACGCTCCTGGCCTCTGGGAGTTAGTCTTTCGTTTGGCAGATCTCAGATGGTTTAATGACTTCCAAGCCCACCCTGGGGTCATCTCATGAGGTCACAGCCTGCTCTCCGGGATCAGACACTGATCCACTGGAACAGCTGACACTAGAAGGCAGACCCGTCCCGGAGGCTGAGGATCTGCGGCACTTTGCCCGTCCCTGTCCAAAACCTCACCGTGGCAGGGGGTGGGCAAACGCAGGAGACGCACTGGTGCCCGAAGGTGCCAGGTGCCATTGCCACTGCCTACGGTCCCCGCCTCAGTTGCGTCATGTGCGAGAGACCTACTCGAGCCTTCACACAAATGCAAACCTTCGCAGTTGAAAAGCTCCCTGCGTTTTTTTCCCTGGGAGACACCTCCCCAGTGACATGTGATGCAAATTTTCCAAGCATTCAAGACAGGCCATGTGGAAAGACCTAATTGAATTCTGACTTGGCTCCGTGGACTATTGAGAGGATCCCCTCCCGCCAAGGCCCTGTGGCTCCACAGTGGGTGGATGCGCTGGCACGACCCCGAGGTTTGAAGTGGCTCCAGCCTGGCTCGCGGGAGCCGGGAGGGAGCGCTCAGCCGGTCGCAGGGAAAAGGAGGTCGCTCCCAGCCCTGCCCTGGGGGTACGCCCTGCTCCTCCCCCTTGCCTCTCTGGGGAGCGGAGTGGGGAGCGTGGCCAGCAGGTGGGCCTGATCAGCCAGCAGGTGGGCCTGGTCGCCCCGCCGGCCCCTGGGAGTCGGTGGGAGGCCCCCTTTGCCCTGACGGCTGCTGCCGCCCACAGGGGTCAGGCGGTGCCAGCCCACGTCTGCCTTGGAGCAGCTAATCACTGCGACTCAACTGTCCCCCCCCAGAGAAGCTCCCTAGGTACAGGAAGCCTAACTACGGTGGACGCTTAAAGAAACAAACAAAGCCAAACCAACGTCTCTAAAGCCCCAAATCTACACCAGCCCACGAAAACCCCATCGAACCGAAGATCCCATTGTAGGAGCTGTTTTGAGGTGGATGGGGTACTTCCCAGGCCACCTGAGCATGTGACGAAAACATCTATGGCAGGGGACAGCAAACTGGAGTGGGAAAGAGCCTGAGTCAACCTTTTAGGCCACATGGGCCGGTTGGGCTCAGTCACAACTCTTCAGCTCCGCTGTGCGAAAGCAGCAGAGGCAACATGTGAATGGAGGGGCGTGGCTGCGTGTCAATAAAACTTTATTTACAAAAACAGGTAGGGGGCCGAATTTGGCCTCTGGGTGATAGTTTGCAGACCTTTGATCTATGACATTAAAAACAAAGTGATGCCCTGGCTGGTGTGCTCTGTGGATTGAGTGTCAGCCTGTGAACCAAAAAGTCACTGGTTTGATTCCCAGTCAGGGCACATGTCTGGGGCGCGGGCCAGGTCCCTAATAGGGCATGTGCAGAAAACATCGGTGCTACCAGTTGATGTTTGTCTCACCCATGGATGTTTTTCTCTCTCTTTCCCTCCCTCTTGTCTTGAAAAAAATAAAATCTTAAACGAACAAAGTGACAGCCAGAGGACTGGCATTCAGACAGACAT